GTTTCATAGTTCTCCTTTTAGAGCTCTTTCACCTTCTTGATTAAGTATGTTCCTAGGTATTTTATTTTCTTTGTAGCTACTGTGAATGGTATTGAGTCTTTGATTTGATTCTCTGCTTGACTGTCATTTGTATATAGAAATGCTACTGATTTGTGTACATTGATTTTATATCCTGACCCTTTGCTGAACTTACTTATGAGTTCCAGGAGTCTCTTGGTGGAGTCTTTGGGGTTTCCTAGATATAAGATGATACAATCAGCACAAAGTGATTAATTTGACCTCCTCTTTCCCAATTTGGATACCCTTTATTTCCTTCTCTTGCCTGATTGCTCTGGCTAGGACTTCCAGAACTATGTTGAATAGAAGTGGTAACAGTGGGCCTTGTCTTGTTCCAGATCTTAGTGGGAATGCTTTCAACTTTTCCCCATTCAGGATGATGTTGGCTATGGGTTTGTCATATTTTTTTTGGTAAAGAGACAGAGTCTCTGTGTTGTCCAGGCTAGCCTCAAACTCCTGGGCCTTTTTCATTTTGGATTTATCCTGGACATTTTGAATATTATGTTATGAGACTATGGGTCTTGTCTAAATCCTTTGGAAAATGCTGATGTTTGTTTTCACAGGCGATCAACCTGGTTGCATTCAGGTTGTGAGTTCCAGCCAGTCTTCTCTGTGTTTGGTTTCGGCATCAGTCCCGTTTACAGAAAGCCTTTACACTGCTGCTGGGTCTGCCCCGTGTGCCTCATGCTGGGTGGCCTGGATCTTCTTTAGTGCCCAGCCTTTCACATGCTGTGTATGGTCACAGCCACACATGCACGGCCTGAGGTGAGGCCAGGAGTTTATAAACAGCTTTGTGGATCACTTTCCTGAGCTCCTAACTCTCTGCAGTGCCCCTGGTACCTCTTAGTCCCCCAGGCTCTCTTTTCCAGTCCCTCTCTGGGAATGCTGGGGCCTTGTGTACCTGCTGTGTTGTGGCTTCTGCAACTCTGCCCACACATGCCAAGCAGCAGCAGTTCAGAGGCCCATAGATCTTTTAAGTGTGAGCAAGATTCTCCTCCCATAGAGTTTGAGTTACCTGGGGGCTCCCACATCCCACCCTGCCATCACGGTCAGTCACTGCCAGGAGTCCCCTTTCCTGTTCTCCAAACCTGAAATAGAGGCCTTCTCTGGGTGCTCTCCACGAGTCAGTGCTGCTTCTCGGTTTGGGGGCTGCTTTAAGTCCAGGCCAGGGATACTGGAGGAAAAAGTGGTAAACTCATTGCTGGTTATTAAAATGCTGGTCTTCTTTCCTCACTTGCTGCTGTTTAGTTTTCAGAGTCCTTAAGTAGGTGCCCCATGTTTTCTGTTTGGAATTTATAGCTGTGTTCAGTGGAAACAAGAGGACAGGGTCTGCTTAAGCTGTCTTATCTGGAACCAGACTCTCCAGTCCATTTAGGTGTTTTGTACTAACCAAATATATGTACATGAGCAATGCATGTAATATGGTATAACTTGTATGCAGTATATGTAGTTTTGAGTATTAAATTTTATAAATCATCTATGGATCTAGTTAATTCCTTTTAAGTATGTTATATCAAAGAAGATGTAACATTTGGATTATTCTTTCCCTGACTGATAGGTGTCCAGGTTACTTTTGGGTTTTACTTGACAAGTGTAATGCTGCAGTGAACATCCTCGGCAAGCTCTTTGCTCA